TATCTTCAGAGTGGGAGGGAGAGAGGGAGAAACATTGACGTGAGAGAGACACATCAACTAGTTGCCTCCTGCATGACCCCGACCAGGGCCAGGGACGAACCACAACAAGGTACATGCCCTTGGCCAGAATCAAACCCGCGACTCATTAGTCTACGGGCCGATGCTCTACTGCTGAGCCAAATCGTCCAGGGCAGTGTCTAGAATTTTGGAACTAAAAAGCATCAGAGAGAAATAGAGTCCAGTAGTTCAACCTTCAATTTGTAGGTAATATAATAAAGGGTTAGAGAAAATTATGTAAGTGTAGAAGTATATACATGTTTAAAAGCCGTAAGTGCTTTCAAAGTTGATCTGGAACCCCCTCTTGTGAGTTGCAATCACAATCCAGGTCAATGTCCCCTGGAAATGTCCTAGTTCTTTCATGTAACTCTTTCCAAATGAAATAAACGGAGTCTCCAATTTTAAATCCTGGCACTTTCAAAAGTTTGAAGTATTTCCAATTGAATACAGTAAGTCAAGTGTTTTCACAAGTTTCTAGAATGATTAACAAAATATATTTGGTGAGGAAAAGCATCCTAGATAAAAAGCAGATATGAGAACAACAAATAAAAAAGCTGAAAATGACCGTGCTACTTGGTAATCTTGCTTTGCCAAATAAAACATCAAATTGTTGTGTATCTTCTCCCCCATTTCTTAAACCCCCCATTTCAGAGCAGGTAAACAACAAAGCCCTTGGGCTAACTGCTTGCTTCTCCCAAATCCAGCTTCCACTTTTCACAATTTGAAGCTCTTAAGGCTTTATTCAAAAACTGTTTAGAGTGGTTTTTGTTTGTTAAAAAGGCCTCACTAGTCTGTCTGCTGTTGTTTGTGAGTACTCGATTGGACACGGGCAGCCTGATTTCTTCAAGATCAGGTTATCTTGAAGACCAGCTGGCTTTTGTTCAATTTCCTTTGAAACGGGCTATTTCTACTGAAATTACTCCACTTCTGGTTGAGTCTTAGCCTGGACTGTCTCATTGAAAGAGTGCCGCTCACCCTACATACAGCCAGGCTCTCCAGAGAGCAGGCTGTTTCCTAGAACTGGCTTTTTAAGACTTTGGCCTGATCTTTCTATGATCAGACTGTTCTAGAGCGAGGCTGGCTGATTTCTACCGCGTAGGTTGCTTGAGCTGTTGTAGACTACTTTGGGCCCCTTGCTCTAGAGAAAAGTCTCTGAAAAATGGGATCTCAGTTATTTAATATTTTAAGACCACCCCTCCTGCAGGGACTCTAACACTTTTCATGCACATATTTAACAAAATGGACAGATTTGAACCAACAATAATTCAGAAAATCAGTGGCCACTGTGGGGAACTTCTGAGATCTCCAAACTTCATTTTCTTCAAAGTGAATTGAACAATAACAGCACTAAAATTGGCAAAGCTGAAGGGAATGTCTATTTTGAATGGTGTCTTGAGGCTTCCAAATGGGACCAAGAACCTGAAGTTTCCTCTTTGCAAAATGGAGTTTTAGAATTAACAGAGGTTACTGAACTTTTAAGGAGAGAAAAATGGCTTCCCACATGCTCTTTATCTACATGGCTGTCTTGCAATTCCCCTCCACTCCACTGTCTCAGGTTCCATCTCCAGGTACCCTATTCTGTGAATATTTTGCCATAGGATTCTTCTCCAGCATCCTCAAGCTCTTTTTCTCCAATTCCTTTGTTTCAAGCTCCACCTCTGATATACCATGTTGCCTTCACTACCGGCTTCCTTACCCCCAGTCCACCTCTGGTGCCACCTTCCCCTGAATTCTCTCCCACTCCTTCCTCCTCCACTTATCAGGACCTTTCGATTTAAACTTAAGCCCCCTTGGGATCCTAACAACCTCAAGTTTTATATGTTCCCAGGAGTTAAGAATCTCTTAAGGTAACTGAGGATCCTCACAAGTTTGCTGAGGAATTTAATACTGTTATTCAGACCTATAGCTTGAGTTTTCTGATTTATATCAGCTAACTCATGTTAGTTGGTGAAGGCCAGGCTCAACATCGGATGAGAACTGCCCAATGGGAATATCCTGAAATGGATTTAGAAAAACAAGCCTCTAATTTTGGGGAAAGAAAGTAGAGAATTCCTAAAGAACTATACTAAGCAATTCCTAAGGCTTTCCCAAAGCCTGTTGATTGCAGCAAAATTCAGGCTTGCTCACAAAAGTCTGATGAATCTGTTCGACTATTATAATCGACTAAAGGTCATTTTAAAGGAAAATTCTGGCCCTCCTTCAGATGTTGATTTCACTCAGGTAACCTTTAACTTCATTGTTAATGGGCTGAACCAAGACTTTCTCTTTTAGTTAAGAGGACCAGGAATGAGAGACCATGTCCACCCAGTATTTAGTTAATTTGGCTAAATTGGCTTGTTCATACTCTAGATGGGCCACCTAGAAGTAAGACTGTCATGATTATTAATTTTCAGCCTTGGCAAATGAAAGCCCAGTACAAAACCAAAAGACTCCAAGTTTCTGCCATTTTTGCAAAGAGCCAGTATGTTGGAAAAGGGACTGTGGAGAGTTTAAATGCTTCAGGCACCCTCAGCCTGAATTAGTCTTCTAACCAGCCTTCTCAAGGTCCTCGTAATCCTCAGTGATGGGGCTCTGAGGACCTGCAAGGGCTTTTTCCAATTCTCCCTCTTAATTGGCTTGGAGAAACTTTTCTTCAAACTAATAATGAATCTCTCTCTTATAACAAAAGTTCTGTATGTTTTACTAAAGAGTGACAATCCTGACCCAATTTTATGGGAAGAATAGGACATGGCCTTTAAAGCCTAAAGCAGAGTTTAATAAACCCACCTGCTCTTGGACATTCCAATTATCAGATCCCCTTTTTCCTTTTTGTTTGTTTTTAAATATGTTTTATTGATTTTTAGAAAGAGGGGAAAGGCAAGAGAGAGAGATAGAGAAACATCAATCATGTGCCTCTTGGAGGCACCCTAACTGGGGGATCGAATCCACAACCCGCACATGTGCCCTGACTGGGAATCAAACTGGGGATTTCTCAGTGCATGGGATGATGCTCAACCAACTGAGCCACACTGGCCAGGGTTTGAACCCCTTTTTCTTTTTTGTATATTAAAAGAAAGAGGCCCTGGCTGGTTGCTCTGTGGTTAGAGCGTCAGCCCAGAGACGGAAGGGTCTCAGGTTTGACCCAGTCAAGGGCATGTACCTGGGTTTCAGGTTCGATCCCCAACCCCAGTTGGGGTCCTGTGGGAGGCAACCAATCTGTGTCTCTCTCACATCAATGTCTCTCTCTCTCTCTCTCTCTCTCTCTCTCTCTCTCTCTCATGCCCTTCCACTCTATCAAAAATTCAATGGAAAAATATCCTCAGGTGAGAATTAACAAAAAATTTAAAAAAAAAAAAAAACAAAAAAAAAAGAAAGAAAAGAAAGGGAATGCCCTTGGAATACTCACCCAAAAAACATGGGGACCACCATAGATCCCTAGGATACTACAGTCAGCAACTGGACCCTGGATCCTCCCTTGCCTCAGAGCCATTACTGCCACTGCCCTCTTGGTTGAGGCCACTGAGGACATTGTTGCAAGATCCCCTCTAACCATCTTTGTACCCCACACAGTAGAAGCCCTCCTGAATCCTCATTACACCCAGCATCTATTGGTTAGTCACCTTATTTCCTATGAAATCCTTCTGTTAACTGCTCCTCACACAACTCTTCCACATTGTAATAACCTTAATCCAGCTACTCTTCTCCCTTCTGAGACCAATGAAGCCCCTCATGACTTCTTGGCACTGACAGATCACCTCCTGAGGCCTCGTCATGATTTACAGGAGACTCCTCTGGGTAAAGCTGTTTTCCTGTGGTTTACAGATGGTTCATGTTTTAGAAATGAAAATGGAAAATACTGTGCTGGTTATGCAATTGAAGTCACTGAGGCATTTTTACCTTTGGCTACTTCAGTTCAGCAGGCTGAATTGTGTGCTTTCACTCTGGCTTCTGTTTTAGCCAAGGGCATAACTGCCAGCATTTGTACTGAAGTCGATATGCCTTTGGAGTAGCTCATGACTTTGGAATGTTTTGGAAACAATGTGGCTTCCTTACTCCCGGTGGAAATAAAACTAAAAATGGGCCATATGTTTAGGAATTGTTGGATGCTATACTTTTACTTAATGCTTCAGCTAGTATTAAGATCCCAGGGCATTCTAAACGATTCGCTGGAAGCTAAAAGAAATCATCTTACTGATGCTTCTGCAAAGAATGTTGTCCCCAAAGGAATCAGCAACAGTCAAATCCTGTCAGGGTCCAAAGGGATATTTCCCAGCTGGTAATTTAGAAAAATTGGCTAAACCCAACAATTGGCTTTGGAAACACACACACACACACACACACACACACACACAAGATTTGAAATCTAACAGTTGCTAGTTTGATAAAAGAGAAAGGTCTGTTTCAGACCAAATAACCCCACCCGGTCCTATCAGAGACTCTGAAGTTTACGTTCTTAACTACTGTACATTCATTAAACTATTGGTCCACTGATAAAATGATAGCATGTATGAATCAATATTGGTGGGGAAATAATAAGGCCGTGAAACGTGCCTACCTTACTTGTCCTATCTGTCAAAAGAACAACCCAGGGAAGCATGTCTGCTCTGCCCCTGGATATTTAAAACTGCATAACAGACCATTTGAGGTACGGCAAACAGATTTTATACAGCTTCCCCCCGTCTCATGGATATAAATGTTTTTAGTCATGGTCTATGTTTTCTCACTGGGCTGAAGCTTTCCCTTGTACACTGCCTCCTGGTGGCTAAAGTCCTATTAGAGAAGATTATCCCTACCTGGGCAGCTCCTCTTGAACTGTTCCTCTTGACCTAGGAACCCATTCTACGGGTCAGGTGCTTCAACAAGTCTGTGCCGGTTGGCCAGTTTTACAACACCCTTAATTATAAGGTTCATGCAGTCTTAAGGTTGGATTTCAAAAACCATTAATAATTACCTTTAAATGGCAAATGAAAGGAAAATTTCATCATCAGGGTGGTGTGTCCGTCTGTACAGACTATAAAAGTCGCCTGATCTGCTCAGCTCTCTACACTCCTGTTTTACTCTCTCAGCTGCCTTGCTGTTTGGTGACCAGGTAAGTGTGCTTTTAGTACTCCCTACCTGGAGCTCTTTCTGCTTCTTTTCAGAATAGTGTGAAAGATCATGGTCTGGAGAGAAAGAGGGTTTGTGCTATTTTAACGATATCACCAGTAATTTAGAGGCTAGAAGCTGCGGTCAGTTTTCTGCAAAACTACAGCCTACAGAGTACAGACCAGGTATATAAAAAGTGATGAATGTCGTAATTACTAATTAAAGTGTTTGGCTACAGGTACTATCTCCTAACAGATGTACTCTAAGAACAGACATTTAACATACTGCTAAGATGATTATTTTAAAAACATGTTCGCAGTCATTAGTGCAGTTCCCACTTTCTTCTTTCCTCCTCCATTTCTCCCGCTACCCCCTCATCCCAGTCCCCAGCCTTTTCTTTTTTTATTAATTTATTTTTGTTACAGATGTTTTTCCTTTTCCCCCCACTGACACCCTCCTCCCAATCCTGCCCACCCACCCCCAAGCCTTTTCTTCACAGTCCCCCACCTATGCCAATGGCACTGAACTCCTGCTGGCAATCATTAGTATAAAATTCCACTTTGGCTTTTTGGTAAGTTCATTTCTTTCCTAATTTACAGGACACTAAAATGAGTGCAAAACTGTCTTCTAAAGAACTGAAGAGCATTTTTGAAAAATACGCAGCTAAAGAAGGTGATCCAAACCAGCTGTCAAAGGAGGAGCTGAGGCTGTTGATTCAGAATGAATTCCCCAGTTTACTAAAAGTGAGTACACAACCATAGAGTCCCCTGAACGAGCCTCTGATGGTGGGAGGGGAGGGGAGAGGAAAGGAGCCAGGAAGAGGCTGAGGTCTTTGATACTGATCAGAGCTCCACCTGGGGCACAGCACACAGCAGCCAAACCACAGGCTGTCACCTAAGGGAGAGCAGTTAACGTGTGCTTTCCTCCCCTGGTGGCCAGCCCCACTTCCTACGGCAAGCTACTAGAAAGTAGGGGCCCAGCCTTCTCTCCCCCACAGCCTTAGCACAGAACTCTCTGAACCAGCCATAGCAAATGGAAGCAGTGACAGAACTTTTACCAAGCTAGGTCTGGAAGACGCACAGGTCGTCACGCAAACACATGAAGAACCTCAGCCTGGATTCAGCACGTCCATGCCAGGCTTTACACAGAGGCCAGTAAATTAATATTAGTTAGCCTTGGACGCCCTTCATCATTATAGGTAGGGTCTCTCAACAAGACTATTTACTTGGCAGTCTGTTAAGAAAACCTGCTTCCTGCTGACAAATTACTCTCTGTAGAAACCCATTTCTATTTCCAAAGCATTTAAATTTGTTAATTTGTGTTAAGCACCTAAATTTGTGTTAATGAGGCAATCATGCATTTCTCAACCTTCGGGAAAGGATGAAATTTCTTGAACCATCCCAGAGTTGTCAAAATCGAAATGCATCAGAAGCAAAAAGGAATGGGGAAAGGTGGACTCTCTGTCGGAGCTTCATTGTGCTTTCTTCCATTTGCAACTAAAAACGATTTTCAAAACAGAAGGGCTGTAATTGGTACATCCAAGTGGTCACTTGTTAGCTGTAACTTCAGAAGAAAGCATTTGCCTTCCAGATTTTAACCAGAAATGTCCCTTCTGCCAATATGATGTGAAAAGGTCTCTGGGTTTAGTTGTTGAGAAGGTTTCTATGGTTAGCACTAAAAAGAAAAGCGGCTGAATTCAATGACCTTATAAACCATTATCTTCTCATTTTTTTATGCTTAAAATATTAAATAACCTTACAAAAACAGTTAAAGGCACTGGCAGAAAAGGATATTTTTAATTAAAAAAATTAAAACAGCCCTGGCTGGTTTGGCTCAGTGTCGGCCTCTGGTCCAGAGAGACCCGGGTTCAGTTCCCGCTAAGGGCATGTACCTCGACTGCAGTTTGTCCCTGGCCCTGGTTGGTCATGCGGGTGGCAGCCATTCGATGTGTCCCTTTCACGTCGATGTTTTTTTTTTTCTCTCTCTCTCTCTCCCTCCCACTCTACCTGAACAAAAAATGGAAAAATGTCCTCGGGTGAGGAAATAAATAAATAAATAAATAAAACAAATGTTTCTGAGAAAAATTAAATTCTAAAAAAAGACAACTTTTTTCTAAAAGGAAGAAAAATAATATAAAAAATAATAAAAAGAAGGAATAATAAAAAAAGAAAAATAATAATCCAACAGTAGAGCCTAGGCAATTAAACAAGTTGCTTTTCAAAGATAAGACTGGTAGAATTTTCTAAATTTTCTTATATTCTATGTATTTCCTATAAAAAGCACAAATGACTTTATAATTTGGATAGAGGTAGGAAGACTTGTGGTAAGTTTTGAAAAATCTATTTACTGAGTCATGTACTCAATTATATTTTCATAATGATTACTAAGGTTTTCCAAGCTACACTGTTTACATCATCACTTTGTATGGTTTAGTACCTAGTAAAGGCTTCAGGAAAAGAGCGTTTGGTGATTATAAAAAAGGTATTGAATAACTAACTTATAGGTTGGTCTTGTGATCATAGCAAAACACCAAGTGCCTTTGTAGGAATATTAAGGGTTAAAACAGATCTTGATATATAGATATGTGCACAACAGTGTGGACATAGTTAATACTACTGAACTGTAAACTTTAAAACAGTTAGGATGGTAAATGTTATGCTATATGTTTTTTACCATATTTTACAAAATTTATTTTGGAGTTAACATATAAATGGAACTGTTATTTCAAGAGGTTTCCTAGGTACTATTTTGCCACAGATAGACTCCTACCTGAAAGTCAGAGCTGAAATGGCTTTAGGATTTGAGTTTTATGACAGAGACAAATATTAAGTCTGCTTAAGACACTACAGTAGTCAAAAGGGGGTCGAGCTGCACATGAGCTCATGTAACATTTCTAGCAGTGGTTCTCTGAGCACGGCTGGGCTTGGACCAGCAACACCAACATCGCCTGCAGCAATACAGATTCTCGGGCTCCACCCAGGCCAGGTGAATCAGAAACTCTGGGAGTAGGATCATCAATCTGTATTTATTTAGGTCAGGATGCCCATCTGGTGATTCTGATGCATGCCAAAGTGTGAGAACCACTGATCCAAAGTCATCTTGCCTAGTACAGAGGTGGGCTGCAGCCCAGGGTTTGGGAAAAACTAGGGTAGTAGCTAGTTAAGGGTTTGGGCTCTAGAGTCAATGTTTGGACTTCAAGTCCACTACTTATCAGCTGTGGGCCCTGGAGTAAGTCAGCAGCTGTCTCAGACCCTCTGTTTCCTCACCTGAGAAGTGATCTACCCACTGGGAAGATTTCACAAGCTACCAAAAGCCCTTCACAGTGGCAGCCAGCAGCAAGCCATGCATAATGCCTTGATTATATGCCAGCCCAGCCCTGGAGACAGACACAAACCAATTCCTAGGAAACCTTGGGGCGGGGGTCCTCAACTATTTGTGGGCTGTGGGACCCTCAGAAGTCCAGTGAAGCGTTTGGACTCCATCAAAAGAATGGTTTTAGAGGTATAAAGAAAAATACTTAAGATTACATAGAAAATCAATTATATTAAAATACACATTATCACTGTTAAAATAATAAATATATGGTATAGGAAATAAAAAGGGTACCCTGTTCTGTGACATGGAGTAATATTACAGCTAAAGTTGGTTTTTCATCCTCTAACTATCAGAAGCATGTGATCAAAAGCTCAGCTGCCTTCTTGGAATGCAGACACAGTATCTCTAATTTCGGAGAATGTGTAGAAGCACATAACTGATTCATTTTCTCTCCTCTCCCCATCCCATCCTCTTTGTCTCACACCAGGATCAAAACACCCTGGAGGACCTCTTCAAAGAATTGGATGAGAATGGAGACGGAGAAGTTAGTTTTGAAGAATTCCAGGGGTTACTGAAAAAGATAGCCCAGTGAAAGAAAAAACAAAATGATGCTATTCTGCTCACCAGGAGAAGAGCACATGGGAAGAGCCATATTCCACCTGGAGTCCCCAATGTCTGTTTAATTCTTTCCAATTATAATGATCTGGTAGTGATAGCCAGTTATTGCTAATAAAGAAATTCTTACATGCCTCACTTTGTCAATTACTGACCTCCATAGTTTAATAGATTTTAAAGTAACCTTAGTCTGATGCATCTAATTTTATAGATTAAAAAAAAAAAAGAGGTCCAGAATAGTTTTATGGTCTTGACCAAGACTACAGAGGCAGTGTCAGAGATGTGGAAAGAATTCTGATGTGCCAAACCAACTCCCTCACTCCCCTCTTCCACCAGAATAACCCTGTCCTTGCTCTTCCCTCCCGACTACTTAGTGCTCACATCATTTCCAGTTTCAACTCTAGTCAATAGCTAGTGAGAAATAGACTTCAAAGAACAGACACTTGTCTTTAAAGTCATCTCCCAGCACTTGCTGTGCTTTTTGAATCACTGACCCTCTCAGAAAGTAGAAGGAATACAGGACCAACTGTCAGTTCTGCTCTGTCACCAAGGGGTTGGCCTCGGTTCTGATATGTGATGTGTAAAATAAAAGGGACAGGAAGACATAGGACCTTCCCAGCTCTGGCATGCTGTGTGTGCTGCTGGGACACTGGGTACTGAGAGACAGCTCAGGTTCCCCTTGTGGAGTCCAGCTGGAGGTGGGGGTGGGGGGTGGCAGAGGGGAGTAAGGGAGGTATGGAGGGGAATTTAACCAAAAAGAAAAAAAAATGACTTCTAATTTTTCCACCTAGAAACAAAGGAGATTTTTACACACAGGGAGGGAATGTTTAAATACAATCTAGATCATTCTAATTCAACACAAACACATTTTCATGGCATCAAAAGCCTTAAACATTTCTAATGACTAATTATATTTCACTATAGGGATACCCCATAATAGTCTTAACTATTTCCCCATTGTGGGGCATTTAGATTATTGCCATTTCTGATTTTTCTAAATAATGTCATAATGAGTACCTGTTTGTATCTCTGTCAACATATCAGATTTCCTTAGGAGAATTTCTGGGAAGTAAATGTCTGAGTCAGAGGGTATGAATATTTTTATGGTTTGTGAAATAGACCACCTAACTGATTTTCCAAAAGGTTGTATTGATTCTTTTTTCTACAAACAGGCAGGAAAACGACAGCTTCACTCCCCAGACAGCATTAGATGGTCTCATTTTAACAACTTTATTAGTCACAATAGTACACATCTTTTATTCGTTTCTGGTTTTAATAGGAACATCCTACTATTTCCCCATTGCATTTACTGTTGGATATTGCTTTGTAAAAGATACTCTCTCCTTCATTTAAGAAGTACCTTTTTCCTACTAATTTGTTATGAGACTGTGAGCACCAGGGTTTAAATACTATAGACTGCCTACTGAGCATCTATGGAGGGTTCTACCTTTTGTTTGACCAATATGATATGTAATCAATTCAATTCCTGAGACACACTATCCAGTCATGATTGATTAATCTTTTTTTTTATCCTCATCCGAGGACATTTTTCCATTTTTTGTTCAGATAGAGTGGGAGGGAGAGAGAGAGAGGAACATCAACGTGAAAGGGACACATCGAGTGTTTGCCACCCGCACGACCCAACCGGGGCCGGGGACAAACTGCAACCGAGGTACATGCCCTTAGCAGGAACGGAACCTGGGTCTCTGTGGACCACAGGCCGATGCTCTACCGCTGAGCCAAACTGACCAGGACACGATTGATTAATCTTTAGTGCTTTTAAATTAGACCACTCTAATATTTTACTTAAGATTTTTTCACATCTTTATTAATAACCAACATTAGTCTATAGTTTGGGGCTTTATTTTTTTGTTGCATGTGCTTTGTTGAGTTCTAATATCTAGGTCATGCTAGCTTCCCATTTTAGACTATGTTCTAATCTCAATCAGCCACTCGTAGAGTAAATATACATTATCTCTTTCAACCCCAACATATACAAAGCACCTACTACGGGCAAAGCATTATACAAGGCCTCTCAGATCCTAAGTCAGTAAGTCTGGGATCAGGGCAGGGAAAGGCTTAATTGAAGAAGTAGCATTTCACCCTGGCCAGTTTGGCTCAGTGGTTGGAGCATCGGCCCATGGACCAGAGAGGCCCGGGTTCAGTTCCCGCTAAGGGCACGTATCTCGGTTGCAGTTTGTCCCCGGCTCCAGTTGGGGTTGGGTGGGTGGCAGCCAGTTAATGTGTCTCTCTCATGTTGAGATGTTTCTCTCTCTTCCTCCCACTTTCCCTCCCGCTCTATCTGAAGATAAATGCAAAAATGACCTCGGGTAAGGATAAAAAAAAATTTTTTAAGAAGTAGTATTTCAACTAGAATTTGTAGGAAGAGTCTTGAGGGAAACTGCAGGGAGGGGGAAGCCTGGGCATTCAAAAAGAGAGAAAACACCCCAAATAACATATCATGTTCAAGTGCAAGGCAGTTCAGGGAACATACACCCTCAATTTTGGGTGTAAAGCCAGCTATGATGAATAAAGAGGGTACACTGTTGTCCCCGGCCCTGGTTGGGTCATGTGGGTGGCAACCATTCGATGTGTCCGTTTCACGTCAATGTTTCTCTCTCTCTCTCTCTCCCCCTCCCCACTCTAGCTGAAGAACAAAAAAAAAAAATGGAAAAATGTCCCCGGGTGAGGATAAAAAAAATAAAATAAAATAAATAAATAAATAAAGGGTACACTGGCTTCAGATCATGAAAGTCCTTGGTTGCCATGCTAAATGAAGGTCTGCCTGTGCTGTTATATCAGATGGGTACTGACATTTAAATTAACTAAAATTTTAAAAAATTTAAAATTTAGTTCTTCAGCCACACTAGCTACATTTCATGTGTTCCATAGTCCCATGTGGCTAGTGATTCCCATATTGAATGGCACAGATACAGAACATCCTACCATACATAGCAGAAGTTCTAGTTGACCATGCTGGTAGCATTAAGGAGGGTGTGCTCACATAGTGTCCGTATTTTAGTTACATGTATCACCAGTCTATGTCGTGTGTCTCCAACTAAACTGCAAGCAGGGTTGCGGCAGCAGCTTGTGGGTAATACTACACTATATTTAGGACTGCACTTAAGTGGATGAGCTGCAAAGGCACAGTGACTTCTTTTTTTTTTAATAATCTCTTTCTGCTAGCATCCAGTTATTTTTACTGTAAAAAAAAAAAAAATCTTTCAAAGGGTTGAAATACCTATTTCTAAGGCATCTCCCATTGAGCTCAAGGTATAAAAGCTTTAAAATACATTACCTTTGAAGTACTCATTTAGTCATTCATTTATTGTTAAAATTATGGACTTACCCTGTGATTCAAAAATGGAGCTTACTCCTAGCGGTACTCTTTTCAAAAAGTAGTCATGGGCAAGGAGGAGACTCTGGTGAAAAAGATACCCTAGCCGTTACACAGTGGCCATAATGCCTGGAAGAATTTTTCTTTCTCCAGATAGAGAGCAGTTACTATGGCCAACAGCCTGGTATCAACTCTAAGTTTATCATCTCCACAGAGACAAAATTAAATGACTATTATTAAGCTCCCAGACTGGCCCATAAAGGCTATTTTACCCATAGTATAGCTGTCTTCTTGACAGCTGCTTTCACGAGTCAAGTTCCTTAGCCCAAACTAAGCTCTAAATGACTTCTATACGGTGGTTTTGTTAGTTGGGTGATGTTTACTACAATGTTCTAAATGCAAAGCAGTCTTCAAAGTAATAAAAGTTGCCTCAAAAATTACTCTAAGTGGCTGTCTGGGGTTTGTTTGTTTTTTGTTTTGTTTTGTTTTGGGGTTTTTTGTTTGTTTGTTTTTAACACTTCTTAATTTGCTTTCCATGTGAGGCTGTTGAAAAATAACATGGAAAAAGAAAATATTTCAAACAGGGCTTCAAGTAAAGGTAGGAAAATGTTATGCATTAATTATGCTTAATGAATAACACATATTACCCTTCACCTGAGTTGACTTTTAATTATTTGTGACTATTCCGCAAATCCACTGTGTCAAATGTAAAATTAGTTATGACTTTGAAAATCCCTGGATCAAAAAGGTATAAAAGAAGTCATATGTATGATAAATAACTAAAGGTGAAATAATATTAAATACCACAATCTCAAATTTCCTTTGGCATCTGCTTAAAATGCTTCAAATTTCTCACTTTTCCTTACCAATACCACCATCCAAGTGTGCATGTGTGTGTTGATGTGTCTGAAGGTGGAACATGGGTTCTGTTCTCAGGATATTATATCTATGTAAATTCGGGTTCTTAAAATTACTGTTTTCAATAAACAGAAAAGAAATACTAAAAATTAAATATATCCACATACCTAAACATTGGATTGAGATCCTTTTTCTACATATGTCTCAGAAGCCAAAAATATTTTAAATATAAAGTTCACAATGCCATGAACTATCTTCTACTTGAACTGGAGAAATCTAAAGCCAAATTCAAGGACAAGGGTGTCAGCAACAGCCATGTGATTGATATAAAGTCAAAATGTAGATCAGCTACAACTGTATTCCTGGTAAGCATCATCTAAAAGTCAGATAAAGATACTTCAAAGCAAGCCAAAAAATCAAATTTGCTGTAGAATCCTAAATGTCTGCAAAGTCTCAGAGCCTTCTATTTTACCTTGTGGATTAAGCAGAGAAACAATGCAATAAAATAAATTTTACTCACTCTCTCCTGGTACTCTCAGACTCAGGAAGCGTTTACCTTCATTCTTAGAGAAAAATCTATTTCTCCTATATAAGAGACACCTCCTCCTAGATATCTGCCCTGGATGCCAGTATCTCTAATGATTTCATAAGCAAACATAAGACTAATCATGCATGCCAAAGGTAGGTCATGATGGTCCATGAAGGGGATCAGAACTTAACACCCCAAAATATGTCTGTTTGATATAGGCATTAGTTTGAGCTGATTATTTTTAAGAAACAGC